GTGCATACATTTACAGGCATTGCTTAAAAGATATATATATATTTGTTGGATTGGAATAAACTCTCCGATGTTTACCGTTGAGTATTGGCAGCAGTTACATCGTTTAATTTAAGTGTGATTATGAAGAAATCAGCATAATTTATATGAATATTAAATTCTATTTGATTTTAAAGTAAATTGGACTTTCAACAACATAACTTATTTTCAATTTTACCCAAAATATCTAACATATTGAACACATATGTAAAAACTAACCTCAGTCACCCTAACAGTCGTATTAAGGGTCAGTGTTTGGCTTCGTTGTTACAAACTAGAACGTTATATTCAATAATGCTAATAAAACATCATGGTGTGAAATTCATGTAAACTGATATACAATAGTTATTAAACTTTTGAATAAAGCAGATAAGATATAACCCAGAAGAGAAGCTTTGGCGTTACATTTACAAAAATTCCTGTAAACAAAATGTTGCACATTAGCTGACAGATCTCTTACAATAATTTAAATAAATATAATCTTTTGCAATGTAAGCAAGAACTACCTATCGACCCAACACAACTTGTCGAATGGTTATATTTTGAAACTAAACAATATTCAAGGATACATAACAAAAATGATTTTGTTTACCACCATGATAACAAAGTATTGTTTGACTAAATTCCGAAACATAATTATTATTCGCATTTGTCTTATTTCATACCACGGATTTAAAGACATTTGCAGCATATAATGAGGAACGGGGATTGAGGATCGAGGACAAGTTATATGAAGGGTTTATCTCAGAATGATCTAACATTTTATAATAAACACGGTTTTAAGTAACGGATAACACCAGCATTGTCAACGATAATTTATGTTTGTTTTGAGTGATAATGTCTTTGTCCTGAATAATATTATTCCTGTGGCTCTACTTTAGGTGAGATGTTCTATCATAGCCCTGGCCGCCATAATTATGTACTCGCATCTGTTTAATGAGTACATCGTTTCAAATAAAAACATGGAATTAAAGACCGGATCCCGTCTTTCACTGACGATACACTTATACCTACCTTTTTCAAATAATGTTGTGAACGATAGTGCACATTGCCTCTTGGGATGTTTTATTTCAAGAATAATGTAAGTGTTTCGGGTGTCTCTTAACGTAACTCGAAGAAAATGGTACTGGCAGCTCCTGGCTTGGCGCTCAGCATTTAAACAGCAGTGAATAATGTTATCGAAGGCAAGCAATAGCCCATCTCTGTTTCATGTGGGAAATATGATCGTGCACTGTTAAGAGAACCTGCTCAGGTCCTACAATAGACAGACTATCAGTATATGACTAAAAAGTGTTGAAATATCTGGAAAGAAGTGATCCCTCGGGAGCATTAAAAACAGCAAAAGAAATCATGAATATGCAGACCCGGTTAGATTGGGTTGTACATGATGGATAATAAAAGTGCAACAACCCTAACGCCCCCTAGTACCGGCTTAAGCGGAACTCAACTCTCAACACTCAAGAATTCTGGACTCAATTATCCTAAAGGACTAGAAATATATATCAACACTATATAAACACTATATTGATATAGCATTAAACACCAATTCAGTTACTCAATCCATTTCAAATATTTCAAATATATCCAGAGCTTTTAGGCCGTACAACGTCTTGCAAAGACGTCTTTGAGTTAGAAGAACAAGGACAAAAAAAAACACGTTTAAGTGGCAGGTCTATGAAAGACCGGCATTAAACAGTGCGCTTAAGTCGGTCACATCAGAGTCATTGATAGTAAGCTCCGATAAATCTTACAGATGTATAAATTGAGGCAACATTGCTGACAGCAGCGTGCTCGTCGCTAGTCCGAGACAACTCAAAACGGGACAGTCCACATGAGCTGCACAAACTATGGCGTGTCAAGAAGAAGCAAGATTCGTGCTCAAGCTGCAAAACGTTTTGACATCATTAAAGGACAAAACCATTGATGCACGTCAGCGCACTAAATAAAACAACCGACAACGCAAACGACCATTGGCTGAGCTAATAAGAAAAGTTCCGAATTAATCTAGGGAACTTGGCATTAGTTCGTCTTGCAATTACTCAAATGAAAATTAAGATGTAAGGAAAGAAACATAGTAAGATATCCTGGCCTTATTTCAAGTGTTCATAATATGTATTGAGATGACCCCTCAATATTTACGTAACTGTTCCCCGGTAATCGTTCCCGACATTATGTCGCAAATGTCTTATCGTGTCTACCAACTTTGAAAACGGCAAATGTTTTGAGTAATATTGAAATATTCCGATGTTGCGATTGGAGAGATACATTGTCCGCAACATAGTAATATGATGAAATGTATAAACTATGTCATAAAGCGTTTCACACAAATTAAAAAGTCCATTACTAAATAATTTTCGTTTATTACTTAACAGGATTATGGATTCTAGCAGACCACTAACAGCAAAGCTACGTAAAATGAGTATTTTGTGTCAATAACAGATCCAGTCACCGTTCTTTATATCAAACATACGACGGTATATAAAAATTTGTGTTTTGTTTATGAACATTTACTCGCCTTAGGAATGAAGGCGAATACCTTGAATGTGTTTCTGTCCGTTTATTTTAGGTTATTTGCTTTGCAAAACAAGTTTGGCCTTCGGGTTTGGTAAATATCACATAAGCAAGTTGGAATTTATTATACACTTTATCAACATACAAGAGTTACATTTAATCAAATTTAACACATTTATTTGTTTGCATCATAATACATTTTTTCTGAGGAAAATTCAACTTGATAATCCGATTTCTGATGCCAGAAAAAGTTAACACGATATGTTAATATGAAAATATTCCACAGGAAATGTTAAGTTTTAGTTGTTTTTTTTTTTTTAGATTTTTTTCAATGCATTTTGTAGAGTGCATGTAAGTTAAGAAAGAAAGCTATACCGTTGACAAATCACCCGTGAGTATGTTAAATACCGCTTTACAGAATCAGCTTAAGTAGTGCAATAGATCGGATCACACCGAGCTAAAGAACAATCTACACAAGTATGCTGTTTTCCTTTGCTTGTACAATTCGACGATTGGTCGGGAACACTTCAAGAGGTTCGCTTTCATGTCTGTCTTTATTTTTAACAAGTGCATTCAGTAGGCAAACATAAGACCGTGCTCTGTATGTGCCTTCTTGAAATTCTGTTTCCTCTAGGAGGCCAAGATATACATTAGCTCGCATCAGGTTGACAAATGCTTCAACTATTTCAGGTATCAACTTTATCTCAAGCGCTATGGAAGTAGCCATATCGTCAATATCGTTATGAAAGTCTGTAAAATACTCATAAATAGCTCTGAGAGGACAAATCCTGAGCAAATGCAGATCTGCAGCGGATTCCGCGTCAATAATAAATGAAAACCAGTAAAAAGCACTTGCAAAGTCCATTTTGTTTTCTCGTTCAAAGGAATATCCAATTAAAATCAAAGCCAATGCAACATGTTGAACAGATGAGGAGTTTCGTTCAAATGTATACTGAAGACATTGGCGTATGCTTCCAAATGGATCTACCCTAAAGTTGTTTAGGAGTTTACTTATGTTTGAATCATTTTTGTCGATTTCACTTTCCATTCGCACCATCTTTCTGTATAAAGTTACTATTTCCAAATCCTCACTGTTAGCAATTTCAAAGAAATATTTACTCCATGTTTTTGGATTTCCTATTACTTTGTGTGTTAAAGCTTTTAAAGCGTCTATCTTGCTTTCGTTTTCTGCCAATTCTGAATATGTCAGATAACAGAGGTAATGAAATACTACATTTGAGTCGAGTTCAATGCCAAACTTTTTATGAAATGAGTTGTTATCATTAATGTCTGGCAATCTACTGGTCCGAAAACATGCAACAGACCATCTCATTCCTAATGGACAACACCAAATGTCTTTTTTCTTAAACTCAACACAAAAGGAATATGCCTCACTGCTGCAGATATCACCGAGTGTGTACTCAGACATTTTGTAGTACTCATTCCACAATGATGAATTTGCATGTAAGTACATAAAACACGCCGGTAAATTAAAAGTGTCGGAAAAATATATGTTACGAATTTCATTTAAAACCTGTAAGGATCTATCGTATTCCGAATTACAGCAGAATACTGACGCTAGTTTTAATCTACCCGATGTGGCATCAGTCTGAAATCCGATTTTAAACATATCCACGATACCTTCTGATATTGGCTGCTTTTTCTTAATTCTATATGCGGCTAAAAGTGAGGCATGTTTCAATAAATAGTGCGGCAGCATCAGCTTAGCTACAACTTGCTCTGTGTCAGCTTCGCTAGCAATAATGTTTAGAAGTTCTTTCATTAACCGAAATCCAATAAAAGTCTGTTTCTTCAGTGTTTGTTTTGCTTCAAACATATATACATACGGAAACCTTGAATATTCAATAAGATATTGGTTTCTGTCAAATATTATTTCTGCAATGATTCGCTTTTCATTATTTTCACGTGGCAGAAAGAAGCTTGAACTAATTATTGATCGGTGATTGAGCATATTGAATCCTATATCATCAACTCGAATTTGTAACAAGCATAGTAGATTTCCATTTAGGAGATCCTCTACAATTGACTATAGCGCTTGGCAGAACAACGGAGTCATCTTTTCAATAAAACACATTTCACAGAAAGGGTCAAAGAAATTGAGGCACAATAATGATCGACAGAAAAATGTTGAAGTGTAGATAAAGCAGCTAAGATATGCAGTCAACAAACGATCATCTTTCAAAGGGATGGTGAAGTTTCGCTTATCGTGTAGAACATCTATTGTCTTGCGTGATAACTAGTGACTTATCACCTACAATCGGTTGAAGGAGACGTTTTCTTTATTCAGCTTCAGTATAACATAACATCTCAGCTGTGGTAAGATTGAAATCAAAATAATGAACAACCTCTCTGCAAACGAATAAGATAATCGCCATTCGAGTGTTCAGCAAGTTTTCACTTTGCGGGTGGTCCAATTGGTACAACCAGACCATTTACTCTTTTACTTTGTCATAAGTGTTGTTTTGGCTAGGCCATGAATAGGAATGAAACCGTTTTATGATTTCACTTGACATCAACAGATTGCTAGGTACTAGAATTGCTTTGATATGATCAGTGTTTCCTGCACTTGATGAAGGCCCATTCTTTATCATTGGTGATATTCCACTCATATCCATAGTGCATTGAAAGTATTCATCTATGTGAGCGTTCGGAATAAAACGATCGCCCCTATGATCAACAAAATAAGGTTCAGGTACTGCATATGCTTTAAGTTTGCAATATCCACTTGGTGCTGATTTTTCTATCATAACCTTACACAAACCTTGCGTATTCCTTACATTCGACTGTACGATCGAATACAGAAAAGGGCACAAGTAGACCAAATCGATGTCAGAATTCATACCAAATGTTGTTGAACCTTCAATTCTACTTCCAAAATGACATATCTTGTAATTCTTAAAGGATGGAATGTTGCAATACTTTGCCATCAGATTATGCCCTATCTCTTTTATAACTTCAGATTGGTGGTACAGCTCTCGTCGTTTTGCCACTGTCTCTTCATTTACACCGACATTCTCAAGAACATGAGACAAACAATTAGAGACCGCTTTTGCAAAACTAGGAATAGCCATCTTCTGCAATAAGATATATACGTTTGTAAAGCATGTCTTTAAGATGAAATACACATTGTTTTTGTACGCTTCTGACAATTCATTATTTTTGATCATATTTAAGATTTACTTCAAAATATTTACTTCATATAATGATTACGTCACACGTCTAAATATAGAACGTCAAAATGTGATTTTATTGCATACATGAAATAAAACACACTTTCGGTTCTGTTATGTCCAATAAGGCAAAATAAGGGACGTGTTAGAATTCATTACAGATACAGCGGGGAAGAGCAAACAACAATTTTCTGTTAATGTGCGTTTTATGGTGCACATAAGATCATGTTGATAACTCTGTATTTGTCTTATTTATATTGATAATTTGATTCCTTTTTATGGATGTAGCAATATCATTCTAGCTTAGTTTGTATTTATTTAAAGTAATTTTACTGAATATTTTGTCTAATAAGATTTGGAAGATGTCGCCTTTTAAATTATTTGAGTTAGTCTTTTCGAAACGTTACATACGGTTAAATAACAAGTATTTATCAATTATTTACATAAGATCGTTTGTGTTCTTATGCTGTTATCGTTCAATTATGTTTTCGTTTTATAAATGTCGTGAAATGTGTTTTCCTCTTACTAAATAAGGTCTTCCCAGATTTTATTCCATTACCAAAACTAACACTTTTAATGATATCAGTGGTACCAAAGAAAATCAATAAAAAAACGATTTTTTTCCTAAAGTTTAAATATCTTAAATTTCTGATTAAATTCCAGTTTTCTTCTGATTCTTCGTTATCCCGTTAGGTTTTGAACAAGTTATATAAATAAACTGAGCCTGTATATTTCTGATTGTGTCTATATCCCGTTGTGATTTGTATCCAACTGAAGTTGAAAGTTTTCCTTTTTTGTTTATTGTCATATAAAAGTTCAAGTATCAAGGAATTGATTTCTTTCACGATGATATTCGGCACAACTTAAAATGAAATAGGTAACAAAACTAAAGGGCTGGTTAATCAAAATCGAGCTCCGTGACCTCTATTTGTTTGGGCTCGAACTATCTCTGTTTTCATGTTCTAAGGTGTAAGAATCTTTTTTAAATTTTGGTTTAACATATTTGTCTGAATAAGATTGTAATATACAGCCTTTTTATTAGGCCTACTTTTATTTCACATCGCTATGTTCATTTTTAAATTGATCATTCTTCAAGCAAAAAGTGCAAAAGTAGACCACGAGTGCTTTAAATATTTTATACGGCCATTATACATTCTACTTTATCTGTGTTTTTATTTTATTACTCCAAATCAATATTTGCGGTATAACTTGTATAAGAGTATGTTCGTGTACTATCAAATCAGTTTAAAAGTGCTACACAATTTTGACTTTAAAAATGCATATGAACTGATGACAAATAAATGAAAATATTGTTTTTTATTTTGTTACAAGTTACAAATAATTATTAGACTTGGTGCTGAATATTTGTGTAGATATGCATATTTTGATAGTGACAGATTGTATTATTATTCGTTTCATTACATTTTTTGTACATAAGGGAAATCTGAAGCTAGCATTGTATTTGATAATTATTCAATCGTGACGTTAACGTGTAATTCATCAATCATTCTACAGTTGCGTTTTGTTAGACATGATAAACTTATTTCTGCTTGAATAACCTTTACTTCAAAATTTGTGCATACAATTATTATAAGTTAGATCTTAAACTCTTCCATTACTTAATTCATCTATAAAAACAATACCAACAATGGATGACAAAATCAATGCATCAAGTTTATACATCTATACACGTATTTAACTATATTATAACTTGACGATATGTACACAAATGTAGTCAATGCTTTTATTGATTAGTATAATTACTTAATCAAGTTGAGGTGGGGATAAACAATTACTTATCAGTTGTATTTAAAAAAGACAAAAAATGTCTTATTAACAAAGGCATATATAATAAATGTATTTACCCTAAACAATATCTTAATAAATGGAAATAAATAAGCAACTAGTTAAGTAATATTCTTAAATGTAGAAATAAATCTTAGATATAAATACCTGCGACAAATTATTTCCTTTCTATTGAAATCTGCATTTGCACACACGGTTTATATTACCTGTTCATTCACTGGGAACGCTGCCAACTGTCGTAAAGGTAAACTGTCGGTGTATTGATAACTATGTTCGATAGTACATGTATTGGATTAAAGCGAGACTCTTTGTTAAATTTAGTTAAACGATATCAATTTCTTTACAAACCTGTTTATTATTTCTTTAAAGAGGTGCTTGCTTACAAAAGCGTCTGATCAGAAATATTAAGCATAAATATAGAGGATATTGAATGGGTGTAGATTTAATACTAAATATTTTAACTAGTTAAGTAGAATCATATTATGCGAGATCATAAAATATAGTATTGAATCTTCACAAATATAATCTATTACAAATTTGTATATAATGCACATGACGTCAAAGTGTAATTACATTAGTGTAGTATCGTTTTCATTGAATGGCTTATTACAATCCCCCACCTTGGTTTATTTGATAAACTGATAATAAAATTCTAATTTGTATACAACAGTTTTAATATACAAAAGTATTTATTATTATGTTAATGTAGAATGTAAATGGAAATGTACATAAATCACTTTCATACAATGATTAAATGAAAATATTTTTTAATTCTTACAAATTTATCATTGAGTTACATGTTAATATAAACTATTTCGGTCAATAAAGTATTAGCTATGGTAAATAAGGAAATTTAATGTTACGTTAATAATTCAATTGATTTCAAATGCAGTAAAAATATGTTATTAAACAGCATTTGATCGTTCTGTGGTGCTTACTTGCCATTTAAATATGCATGAGACGTTGAGTGTCTCGAATGAAGGAAATAATCAAAACATCTATTGATCGGATGTTTTGTGACGTTATTGCTGTTACAGATTATTGATTAGTAGCACAGTAATTGACATTATTATAAAATTGATTATAAGTATGTTAAACGTTCTTAATGTAAATAACATAATTGAATACAAAAATGACAAATAATATTAATCAAACTGATTTTTTTTTGGAAATCATTTCAAGAAATCGGCATCATATCTGTCTTTGACAATCTACAAAATAATGTAGAATAAAAAAAGCAAAAACAATATCATACACTATTTAGATAAAGATTTACATACTGATGTCTACTATTATTCTGATTATAATTGACGCTTCGGGTGTTGTCGGTAGCTTGCATTTCCCGGTACCGTCCATGAACATAATGTAAAATATGAATCGCAGATTCGATGGTTTGGCTTTCAATACAATGCGGATATATTATATGACATGTGGATATTTATTCTTGCATTACAGATTTACTATGCGGAATATATATATATATAAATACTTTTATAATACATTATTTTAGAAATGAGAAAAACGTGTCAGTAGCGTAGTGATTGAATAAATGACACTTATTATTTTTACAGTAATTTAAAGCAGTTTCTTATGATATTTGTTGTAATAAATGAACCAATTTTGATAAAACAATGCATATAAATTATTCAAGGAACATTGGTTCATATTCGCTCCTTAACATAAGAGTAAAACGCTTTGGGTCGTCTATATTCGCCCCTTAGAATAACAGTAAAACACTGACAGCAAAGTTCTCGGAAAGTCTCGGATCACACGAGATGTGCTTATCTTCCTGAAACTCAAACGACCAGCGCCGAAATAGATTACTGTCATACAGAAAATATCGTGTTCTTGCAAAAGTACCTTAATTTTTGCCCTTAAAAACAATATTTATATTTGTTTTTGAGACATAACGGACGAGCGTTTTCCTTATCACAGCAAATATTATTCATGTAGTGTTAAGATCAACATAATACAAAATTATTATATTTACCCATCCTTGGGATGGGTCGGATTGGACAAAACACACATCAGGTAAAGCTAAACAATGGAGAAAGAAAGAAAAAATAACTATAAAATAAAATTCAACACAAACATTTCAAATGCATTTCAAACAAATTTGCAGGTCCATTAAATTAAACACTTTAAAACTTTAAAACTCGAATTAATTGAAAGAAAGTATTCGTGTCCTAGCTTCTGTGGCATAATATGCCCTTGAAGAATGATAACAAAGCCGCTGCTTCTCGTACAAGAAATAAAATTATTCTTTCACCTAATTTTTAGTATTTCTTTTTTGTACAAACATAAGGTTAACTTTGACAGAAATATGCCATAAATGAACATACAATATCTCAAATGTACACACTGAATGTTTTTAACCATGTTAACTTGAAAATATTGCGGGTATATAGTGACAATATGCCCATCCAAGGGGGAAAGTCAAAATATTTATATATTTTGATAAATATACATCGGAATTTACCTGTAACATTTAATTTATAAATAGAGTGGGGCAGTCTTTTAACTTAAGGACAGTTTTTTTATTTTACCCGAAACAGTTTCCAATATCGGCTTTTGGACTATCACCATTGAAACAGCCAATCTTTCGAAATAGATAGTCAATTCAGCTCAACTTGACAATGAAAAAAATTAAATATCATAAAACAAACCTAAGCAAATACCTTTTGCTTTATTTCAAGTGTTCTTCCAATGTAGAATGTAAAACTTTCAAAGCAATACTCTCTTCTTTTAATATCTGATTCACATGCGTTTTTAAAAAAGTACGTATTTGACTCAAAATTTTCAGTTGCAAAGCGTAGTTATGCTATTATTATGTCTACGTGTAAACCAAGTATATTGCCAATCTTCCAGCCTGTCATCGATTCCTGATTCAGCAAGTTCCATCATAAATTCTGATTCTGATACTTACATCATGCTGTATAAGTCTACTTTTTTGCACAATGCCAAATCATATCCATCTATTTTCTCAATGAATTCATTGTTGTGTAATTCATATTTTTTAGGCATCATCTTTGTAAATTCATCTTTCGAGATTTGTGACTGCGTACCTAAGAAAACCGACTTTCATGTCCTGAGAAATCTCCCTGTGTTGGTCTCCATTTGTACAGCATTGTAAAACTTTTCTCTGGTAAATGTAAATAGTAATACTGGTTTGAATGTTAAACGGCATTTTAAATATTAACATTTATATTATTGCGCATAAGTGAGTTAGTGCTTTAGTCAACATATTTTTCACATACACATTAAACAGAATGTGACGAATTGTATCTTTTGCAAAAGATAATACAACCAAAGTTAGCAATAAACAGTTTCAGTTTAGATGTTTCGAAGTTCTATAATTGTGGTATCTACAGCTTTTTTGAACATGATATATGTAATTTATAGGTCATTTTGGTGTTGCCAATATCTTAATTTCTTAAATTTCGGATACCATGATACAGTATTTTTTTGTAACTTCGCCTATTAATTTCGGCACAAAATGTTTGGTCTGACTTCTGGTATTTAATATATTTTTCACTTACTCAAGTTCTTGAAAGTCATTGTTTGTCACCACTCCATCATGGTTGATATCGGTTAGGTCAAACCACATTGTCGACTTCAAAGTTAGGTAACGGCGATAACTGCTCACCTTTATACAATTAAGTGTTTTTGTAAATGTCTGTTTCATCTGTACAATTAATTATCACATAAATATTGCAACTTAATGGCCTGTCAAATAATTTTATCCTTTACAGACTGAAGAAAGGAGAACGAAGAACGTTGTTAATGTATGAATATGTTAATTTATAAATTATAATGTTTAGAATCTAGATGTGCATTGTCATACAACTTATTATATATTATAATCAATAATAACATATGTCATATGTTGCGGTTCAGAGCGGAATATCCGGCCCGAGTGGACCCCGCCCATTGGGCGGTTACGAAACGGATATTCTGATTCGAACCATAAAAATGTCAGGTATTTTTTCTTGCATATTCTGCCATATTATTGCATAATTAAAAGGGTTAACCTCAATAAGATATTTGTTCATGGAAATTATTGAGATTTCTTCCGTAAATATTTTCTTTTATAGCGTATGAATTTTCAACTTTAATAACAATGGCGAAATGACGTCATCAGTAGCACATAGTTTCCTCCTAAAATGACGTCATTTTAACGCGGTTTATTTACAAAATACGCTAAAATGACGTTGTTGTATGGCATGCGCTTTATCTGGCACCCCATGCCAGATAATATTTCAAACATTTGTTAAGCTCACGGAAACGCCAGTCTGCTATGCAAGAAATATTATGATTAAGTGTAAGCCTTTTATTGACCCACAGAAATAATACCTCAAGTGGGAATCTATGATTACATAATTATTGTTGCAGTTGTCATTAAAGTCAATCACAAAAAGTATCGTACTACGTAACACAATACTGATACAGCAAATAATATTCATGTAGTGTTAAGATCAACATAATACAAAATTATTATATTTACCAATCCTTGGGATGGGTCGGATTGGACAAAACACACATCAGGTAAAGCTAAACAATGGAGAAAGAAAGAAAAAAATAACTGTAAAATAAAATTGAACGCGAACATGCTACTGTGACTGTTCAAATGCATTTCAAACAAATTTGCAGGTCCATTAAATTATCCGCTTTCCAAGGAAGGGCTTAAACTGTATATGGATTGTTGCAAAACTTTGATACCGGTAGTATAAACTGTCTTATTAGTCCTCGAAATCTGCATAACCCTGGACACTGCGAAATACTGAAATTACTTTTATAAATCTTAAATACTTTAAGATAAATAAATGGATAGGTAATATTGTTCAATGGATATGCTGCATCTTATTCTTGTTGATATAATACTAATAATTGATAAAATGCACTGAAAGTGAAGTATTAAGCTTCGCCGCTGACATTTACATGTGTGAGTAGGAAAACACATTTTTAATAGAATATTTTCTAATAACTTGAATTAAATAAACGCGTTGAATGCATTTAATGATTTATTTTTCAAATATTTCAAAACATTACCAAAATAAAACCACCTAAAATACCCGTGAATTTCATTCTATTTCAAGAGCACACATATCGGAAGCATTGATATAATTATACATGTAGTAAATATTAAGACATATGTGAAATTTGAAATATGAAATTCGGAATTTTAAAATAATCATAATTTTGTTCTAATTTTTTATTTTTTAAGTTTATACGTATACAGAAACCCAGTAA